TTTACATAAGCCTGTCTATTTCTTACACGGGCTTGCAAACCTGGAATCGACTTAACTGCAGGCCCCCCTAAATAGACAGAGCAAGATTTGCCTTTTTTCTCAGATCACTGTTCCATTAAAGTAATTGCAATCTTGGTAAGAAAGAGCCCTATAATGGGAACCAGTTCATCATATCTTGACAAGAACTCAGAGTGCCACAAGTCTCAATTTGGTTTGTAAACCCTCAAAACAAAATCTCAGTAATCAAAATCACAACCAAGATGAAATCAGCTCAAGAGCTGAGCGCTGCTTTAAAATCGGCCTTTTGCACCACCTGCCCAAAAATAATTTTTTTGCATCAGATTTTTTGTTCAACAAGAGTTTTCTTGACCATTGACTGCAAAACAGTAATTCAGGAAATTGCAAAGGAAAAACGCAGAAAAAGATGTGTGGAGGCGGTTCAAGCCTCATGCAAAATAATAATTAAATGCCCAAAAAGAAGAAGAAGTCAAAATTGCTCTCTGCAAATACGAAATAACACACGCAAAAGGTCAAGATTGGTGGCTTGTAGAACTCCATCAAACAGTTCATTATTCAAATCCCAGAAAACCCACCAAAACAGATCTATCCTCTTTCTATTCAGAGCTAAATGTATTGTAAAAAAATCTCTCAAACCGAAACTAAATAAAATAAAGTGTGGAAATAGTATCAAGATGTAAAAAAAAGAGAGAAGAAAAAAGTGAATCTTTTTAATTATCTGAGTTCTTCAAGCATCAATTTTTGCATTTTCAGTGGATAACAACGTACCGTTCAGAGGGCTTCTGATTCTTCTCGTCAGCAAAGCTTGAGATGGCAACTGCCCCTTTTGGATGGGAAAAATAAGAAAAAATAAATGAAGAAAATGAAAGAGAGATGAATTGAATAGTGTGTGATGGGATCAATAGAAAGTTCAGTTGGGTCAACCCAAGACTGCAATTATGAAGACATCATTGAATGAATGTTATATAGTAGCTCTTGGTATTATAAAAAATAATAATAATATAAAAATTCATATTCTCTTTGACATGGTGGGTTTTAGCCTTTAGGCCTTTTTTTTCTTGTTACTTTTTTTTTTTAAAAAAAGAAAAAAGACGGTTTGTTGCATGGATTGATTCATCTTGAAATCAGGACATGCATATCGAATGATCTGTATAAGATTTATCTTTATTAAAGTGTGGACAATATAATAACTCATCATAGCATTGAAAAGGATTAAAATCTATCAAATGTAACTTGATATACAAAAGTAAAGTTTTCTAGAATAAGTTATAGGGTAACCAATTACAAGTCAATTCAAGGTGTGAAAAGCGAGTAGCACTACCGTGTGCCCTGGCACACCTTACACGCACCCCCTCATCTCAAAAAACTAGAAAATTTAGAGAGTGTAGTGCATATTCCCATTTTTTTTAATTGAAAAATGAGACATATTACATAAATTAAAATATCATTAATTATTTATATTAAAAAATTAAAATAAAAATACCAAAATTCATAATTTTTCATTATCTATAAATAGAGACCACATTTAATAGGTTTTTGAGCACAACTAATTTTTTGTTTTTTTGTAATTATTTTATTATACTTACATATAATGAACATGTTACATAACAAGATGAATATATTTTCAAATAAGATGAACATGTTACGCAGATTGAAATAATACATATTCATCTTATTTTATAACATGTTCATCTCATTTTGGTAATATATTCATCTTATTTTATAACATGTCCACCTTATTGTGTATGTAACACGTTTATCTTATTCTATAACATGTTTATTTTATTATGTAACATGTTCATCTTATTCTATAACATGTTCATTATATTATACAACATGTTCATCTTATTTTAGAACATGTTAATCTTACTCTATAACATGTTCATCTTACTATGTAACATATTCATCTAATTATAGATTTGCGTCATAATCTTCCAATAAGATAAATTAATTGTAAAAAATGATAAATTAATTGTGTTCCAAAAAATATCAAATGTGGTCTCTATTTGTAGAGAATGAAAAATTATGAATTTGGTATTTTTATTTTTATTTTTTGATACAAAATATGAATGATAATTTAATTTATATAATATGATATATGAAATTCATTACCCCATAGCAATGGGACACATGTCCCATTTAAAAAAAAATACTCTACCTCCTTACCTCATGCACTTTTGAAGGAGCTGTATTTCACAAAAGGCTCTGGCACACCTAGCAAGGTGTGCCAGGACGCACCTAAGTATTTGCGGTGAAAAGCATCAGCTAGATAGTTTTTCTTTTTCTTTTCTTTTCTTTTTTCAAATCCTATAAAGTTACTATCTTTTGTTCAAATTAAATGATGGGTTGGAGGCCGGAAAAAAAAAATGATGGGTTGGAGGAATTCTTTTTTAAAAATCATAAAATTCTTGTTATTTTCTTTTCCCCTTGTGGACAGAGTCTAGATATAGACTTATAGCACCAACTAAAAGAAAGAGAAATATAACTGACCCAATAAAGAAGGACAAGTAAAATAAGGAAAAGTAATCTAGTGTGTTGCTTCAAGATCATACAAATAATGAAATTAAATGATTTATTATTTCCAAAACATACATATTTATGCAACATGGTCAAACTATATGGAAAAAAGATATAGAGACATAATATTCATAATCCATAGAGAAAACAAAGAAAATGACCAAAAAAAAAGAAGAAAAATAGGTCGTTCGAAAATAAAAATCGAGTCTTTAAAAAAAAGGAGAAAAAAGCTCTTCAAAAATAAAAATCAGAGTCTTGAAAAAAGATGAAAAAAACTTGTCCGTAAATGAAAATCGAGTGTTGAAACCGAAAAAGGCGTACATTTTCCTCTCTTTCTCGCTCTCCCAAGTCCCACCCATAAATCGAGTCTCGAAAAAAGATGAAAAAAAACTCGTTCGTCATTTTTAAGCTCTTGAAACTAGAAGATCCATAAATATTGTCCTGTCCTTGGTTTTGTTTGAACATTTGAGGTTATGAACGTTGTTATATCTTGTGCTTTCTTCAATGATTGTTATCTGATCCTTACAGAGAAATGTAAAATTCTAGCAACTAGCTCATAGATCACATTCAAAAGATGAGAAACAAAAAGTAGCTGAAAAGATTTGTGCTTCTAAATTGTGGATAAGAAGAACACCATATGTATATTTAATTATTTATATGCACAAGTTATGAATCAATTCAAAATGTTTCCAAACTCAATATCTGCATGCAAAATAATATCTCATGCAGAAGGAAGAATTTCCAGTGCAACTTCCTTTAAAGATGGCATTTTTTCCTGCTTATGAACACAAATGTATTTATCCCTCTGCTTTCTAAGAACTTTCCAGGGTCCAGGGTAAGACCTATCCAATTATCAAACAGAGACTAATATTAGATTTATTTATTTATTTTTTATCTGATTGTTGGAAATATAAATGTAAAAATAACTGAAAGCAATAATAATTAATTGAACCTGAAAAGGGCTCCTCCATTTCTTCCCTTGAAGTTGTGAATGTAATAAACAGTTTCCATCTTGGGAAAGAATGAATTACAAAGTGCAGCCAGTTTTGGGTAGAAAAATGGTGGATAGTCTTCATTTAAGGTTGTAAAAGAAAAACTACTATGAAAGTAAGGCCACAAATTCTTTGCGTTTGTTAGACGGTCTAACTGTTAGATAAATCGACTTGTCATACCCTTTTAACAAAAATACAGAGAAAAAGGATACAGCCAGATCTTATTCTGTCGAGTTCACCGTTGAAAATAATCAATTTACGGTTCGTTTTCTCCACAGCTTCTTTATAAAGTTCTTCCACCACAAGCATCTCTGTGTAAGTAAGTTAGAATAATTGGGCAATCACAAAAAACGAATCGAATTTAAAGCACGAAAATCGAAAAACATATTTATATATACCATTGACGTTAAAATACGGGTAGCCAACTAGGAATAGTTCGTCCTCTGGCTTTACACGATCGGCCATTTTAACTTTTGTTGCAAAACCGAAATCTTCGAAAAACGATGGTTTTGTTAGGTAGTCGAGCTTCAAAGATGACCCTCCGAAAACTGATTTTCTTGCGAATGTGACCTCATTAGCCTCAGGGAAAAACTGTACAAAGTAACAAACACGTCGAATAAAATAGTTATCTCAAAAGGAAAGTTTGATGTCCAGTCAAATTCGAATCGATTTTCATCACAACACTTAAAGATAAAAAATTTTAATATTTACGATTCGAGTCCTCGTGGATTTTTCGGGACTAATGGCAAGATCACAGAATTCTCGGATCATCTGCATGCTCCCGGTCATCTCTATACCACCTTCACCATCACCTGATT